GAATCTTGTTTGGTCATTGTCCATATAGCCTGGCCCATAACATTAGGAACCTTTTTTTTTTTTTTTTTTTTAAGATTCCTTGGGATTTACTATATAGACAGTAGGAACAGTTTAATTTCTGAGAAATGTCTCTGAGAAATATCTCTCTTGTATTTTAGGAAGATGTTGTGTAGAATTGGTCTTTATTTCTTCTTCAAGTGTTTAGTGGAACTTTCCAGTGAAGCCAGCTTAGCCTGGAAATTTATATTTTAGAAGCATTTTAACTATGAATTCAATTTCTTTGGTGTTCATATGACTTTTCATGTTCTCTCTTTCATCTGACATCAGTTTTGGTTGTTTTTGGTTGTTTCATGGAATTAGTCCATTTTGTCTAATTGTGGAATTTCTGTAGTTTGTAGTACGTCATCATCCTTGAAATGTCTGCCAGGTCTGTAGTGATAAACCCTCTTTAATTCCTTTAATTCAGTCTTGCTAGAGGTTTATCAATTTTATTGATTCTTGCAGTGTGTTAACTTTAGGTTTGATTTATTGTCTCTCTGTTTTTGTTTTGTTTTCAATGTCATTGATTTCTACTTTTATCATTTCCTCCTTTCTGTTTACTTTGGGTTTATTTTGCTCTGTTTTTCATAATTTTAACTATAAAACTTGATTGTTGATTTGAGAACAACATTTTAATATGAATATTTTAGTTCTATAAGTTTCCCAAGTACTGCTTTAAAAACATTTACAGAATTTTATATATGATATATTGATTTTCATTTGGTTCATTGTTTTTTGATTTTCCTGAGATTTTGTCTTTAACTTAYGCATTTGTTAAATTTCAGGTGTTTTGCTCTTTTCATGTTATCTTTCTGTTACACATTTTGAGTTTGATTCTTTTATAGTCAAAAACATACTTTGTATGATTTCAAATCTCTTAAAGTTGTTAAGATTTGTTTTATGTTCCAGGATATGGTCTATATTTATAAATGCTTTATGCATGCTTGAAAAAATGTATACTGTTTTGTAGTTTGGGTGTTTCATAAATTTCAATTATATTTTATTTGTTGATATTATTTAATTCTTCYGTGTCCTTGCTTATTTTCTGTCTAGTGGTTCTACCAATTACTAAAGGATGGATGTTGAAATCTTCCAGTGTAGTTATGGATTTGTTTATTTCTCCTTTCAATGCTGTCAATTTTGGCTTTATTTGTTTTGAAATTCCATTATTTTGTACATATACATTGTATTATCTTCTTGGTTTCTTGGTGGACTGTTCCTGTTAAATAGTCTTTGTTATAAGTCTTTTTTGCCTAAATGTTTACTGAACACCTAAATGTTCTGCAGCCGAGTAACTGATTCATAAAACAAGTCCCTATGTGAATTTGAACATATAGATTGGGTGAGTGTTTATTTTAGCTACACATACAAACACACACAAACACACACACTTTTTTCCCCTGTGTGAACAGTGTTGAGCATGTGTAAAAATTCATTTAATGTCACTAACATGGAATTGACAGAATTTGAACTAGTTTTGACAAATCACCTCAGAATTAATATTATCCTGTTTTAAAAGGTGACATTTTATATGAGAACATCATTTTTTGTCATTTTGTGCAACATAATGTGACTACAAAAGCTAATGACGTGAGAAGCTTTTACATATGCATTACTTATTTTTGCTAATTATAATTTCAGAAATATCTGGATAGAATTAGATGGCAGAGAATAAGACCTTTATTTTGTTATGTTTTGTTTGTTTTGAGTAGAATCTAAAATTGAGTAAAAACTCCTTTGTAATTGAAAAAAACATAGTTGTAATGTAACATAAAATTACCATATAAAATGGAATTTCTTCAGTTATATGTATATCAGGGATTCTTACTGTGCAATGCTTTTCTCTAGACATTTAACTTTTTCCCCCACTTTATTCAGAGAATCAGCCCACTTGGACTCTACAAATTAAACCATGGGTTTTCAATGAATACAAAACCATGTGGTTCAAATCCTGTAGGATGACCTTTTCCTGTTTGAATAGAATAAAAAATTACAGGTGAGTTTATTTATTACTCTGGAAAATATTTACATAATTATATGTTAAAGTAATTTAGTACTGATTCTTTTTAATAAACTTGTTCAGTTTGCAATTGTTCATATATTTTGATTATAGTAGCTTTTGTTATTTAAATATTCTTAACTAATTTATATTTTAACAACTTTTAAATTTGAAAAATTTCAAGTTTATAGAAAAGTTAAAATATATAGCCCATGCATATCTTTCATCCAGATTCAGAGATAGCTTTTATATTTACTAGAATACTGTATTACTTGAAAAAAATGCAGGGCTTAAAATCAGAAACAAATATGATAAGGTGGATAAGTATATATTTTAGGTAGTAAGAATGAGTCAAAGTATGACTTTCTGTATTTATATTTTATAAACCAGTTTCTAACCTTGTAAAAAATAATTGCTTCAGATGAACTCTGATTTCTAAGTGCATTGTCCTATTTCTTTTAAAAGAGATCTTTTGAGATTGGGTGTCTGTGAAGCCATTCTTATTCAACTGAACTCACTGTTATCTGTTGTTAATTAGTTCTTGATTACTAAGACTATGCATTCAATATGGAAAAGGAAATCAATATTCCTAAGATAATATTAAAGAAAAGTGGCATTTGAATCTTTAAAAAAAGAAGAAGAATGAATGAATGAATGAATCTAGAATGTATTCTCTATATGTAGCTAAGAAAAGCAGTACAAATTGAAGGGTATTWCCTTTCTAACTTAGCAACACAAGCAGAACTTTGGAGTACTTTTCTGTACTCTACTGTGACTTCGAACTCAGTGTAGTATCTGTCTAATTTCTGTTTAGTCCCTGTTTGATCTTATGTGATTAAAAATGTTAGGTGAATGATATACTTTTCTAGGCCTTTTCCTTCGATTATATGACAAATGTCTCCTGAGCATCAGCTATGTTCTAGGAACTGTACTAGTCACTAAGAATATAACGGTAAGCRAGACAGTTCATGCTGGCCTTTCATAGTGCTTATGGTCTAGTGGGGAGATGGGCATGACCAAATAATTATACAACCACAGGAGGAAGTGATGTAGGAGATAAAATAAGGATACTTGACCCAATTTTGAAGATTAAGGAAGACTTCATAGATGACATTTCATTTAAACTAAGAGCTGATGAGRGGCTGGGGTTGTAGCTCAGTGGTAGAGTGCTCACCTAGCATGTGCGAGGCCCTGGGTTCGATCCTTAGCACCACATAAAAATAAATAAATAAAATAAAGGTATTATGTCCAACTATACCTAACAAATAAATATTAAAAAAAAAAAGAGAGAGCTGATGAATGAGGAGGAAAACAGGGATGTGGGAAGAAAATTCTAGACAGAGGGAACAATATATGCAAAGTGCCTGATGAAAGAGCAAACATAGCCAGTTCAAAGAACTGAAAAAAGGCCTGTGTGACTAGAGAGGATGAAGAGAATTACAGGAGGTGAATTTGGAGAGGGAGCAAACGGGTGACCAAAAATTTTGAGCATTATAAACCATGCTAAGGATTTTAATCTTTTRCCTAATGATACTGGGAAGCCATAGAAACATTTTACGTGAAAAAATACCATAATCAGATTAATATTTTGGAGTAATTAATCTGTATGCATCATGGAGAACAGTAAGGGGATGAGGTAGGGTGTAGCCAGACTGATTAAAGGGCTGGGACAATAGTTCAGAGATGATGGGAGCTTGGACTTGATGATAGCATTAGAAATAGAGTAATAAGGTAGAGGCACCTGGGTTCAAATCCTGGGTTCACCTCTTACTTAATCTTTCTGAGCCTTTCTTTTCTAATCTGTAAAATGGGAATAATCATAGTACTTTCCTTGTAGAGTTGTCTGAAGAAGTGAGATGACATGTACTTGGCATTTAGTAAAGGTTCTATAAATGTAGCTTTTTATTAGATGTGACCCAGAAGGCCAAGTTTTATAAAGTTCCATTTTTAGTTGTAATTTACTTTGAAAGCAAAAGTGAATATATATATATGAATAGTGCAATTATAACAAAACTTGCTTTTAAAGCATCAAAATTGAGCAATCTTTGTATTTACAATGTAACAAATTATAAATAAAATATCTTTCTACACAGTTTATCCCATATTACATTTTTGAAAAATAGCAGTATTTGCCTGGCTCTTTGTTTTCACCTCTTAGGTCTCCTTGGAAAAGACTGTATAGTACTTCACAGTCCACAGTTGACAGCAGTGAGGTAAAAACCTTCCGGGCCCTGGCTCACAAGTGGTGGGATGAACAAGGAGTATATGCTCCTCTTCATTCTATGAACGACCTGAGGGTGCCATTTATTAGGTAACAGAAACTCCACATCTTTAAAAATGCAACTCGTTTTAAGATTCATTTGTTTTGGATTCATTTTTCTCTTGGTTTATACTTAGGTTCAAAATTCTAAATTTTAAATCAGGGACATTCTCTTTAATGTCCACCATGTGAAATCTTTAATTTTTTATTATCATTAACATATTATTATATTAACATTATCTAAGATCTAGGATGCTTCCATAACTTAATTTGGAGCATATTTGGACATATGAGTTAATTAGAATTAGTTCTTATAAAAGGGAGTTCAGATCCTAGGTCATCAAGGCCATTTTATAGCTACTGACCTGCTGTGGCCTTCAGTTCATGAATGTGCTTCAGTCCGTATTTGCTGTGGGAGATAAAGCAAGGCCAGAGACCATCAGGGATTGCATTTAAGAAATAGTTTATTTGATCTCTCCACTTATTTGTTCATTAAACACTTTTGAACAACTCATAAGGGTAAGACCCTGAAATTGTCATATAATATCACACTCAGATTCTAAAGGAACTCTCTGATTAGTTTTTGCTTGTTTATCCAGAATCAGTGCAGAAAAAAGGGAAATATTATCACTGAATTTGTGGATCACTGAACTAAGGTAGAAAATAACAGAATTGTTGATGACTGGTTCTCAAAATGCAGGCCCGAGAGCAGCAAGCATCAGTCTCACCCAGGAACTCATTAGAAATGCATATTCTCAGGTCTCATCCTGGACCTGCTATTCTAGGATATTAGCAGTCTATGTTTCAGCAAACCTTCCAAGTGATTCTGATGCATACAAAGTTTGAGATGTCTATTCAAACTATTGTGACATCTTTATTTAGACATCAAATAAAACAAATCACCTAGAGCAGTGCAAGATATGGTTACAAGTTTAGATTTTATTTTCAGCACAACTAAAAGCCATCAGAAGAGAGTGATGTGACACAAATTTTTATACAGAGGAGTCATTTCAACTGTTGAAAAATGGATTGGACTTCATTTGAATTGAGTACTTCATGTGTATTATAATATCTCAAAGTAATATTATATATTATCATTATACATTATACATGTCATTATAAGAATGTCATTATACATGTCATTCTAAGAATTATACCTGTCATTCTAAGAATTCAATTAATTTTATTAGCAATATAGGATAGCCGAAGATCTTTATTATATGTAATATATATTTTAATATAAATATAATTACAATTCATATGCAGTCTGACTTAAAAGTTCACTTTACATTACCATTAGGTATATATCTACCATATGTATATGCACATGTACATGTGTTTGTGTGTGTGGTAAAGGATTACTATGATCATCTTAGAAWTAAGTTTGCTTTATTAGATATCATCCTACTTGTTCATACATGAGAATACAACTAATTTAGAAGATTAAAAGAGAATTGAAGCCAGTCATGTGGTACATACCTATAATCCCAGTGGCTCAGGAGGTTGATACTAGAGGATAGCAAGTTAAAAGCCAGAATCATCAACTTAGCGAGGCCCTGAACAAATTTAGTGGACCCTATCTCAAAAATAAAATGGACTGCAGATGTCGCTCAGTAGTTAAGTACCCCTGGGTTCAATCCTTGGTATCACCCTCCCCCGCCACACACACAAAAAAGGGCTCGGCTTGTAACTCAATGGTAGAGTACCTGTGTAGCAGCACATGGAGGCACTAGGGTCTATCTTCAGTCCCATATAAAAATAAATAAAATAAAAGTATTGTGTCCATCTATGACTAAAAAAAAAAAAAAAGAATYAGGAAGGGAATATGGACAGCTTTTGTAAATATAGATCTCTTCTCCTTTTTAAAAAATATTTTTAGCTGTTGATGAACCTTAATTTTATTCATTTATTTATATGTGGTACTAAGAATTGAACTCAGTGCCTTACACAAGCTAGGCAAGCACTCTACCACTGAGCCACAATTCCAGCCCTCTTATCTTCTCCTTTAAGTCCTATAAAAATAACCTAAATTGCTGACCTAAAGTGGTCTAGCAAGTACTGATGATATAGCCAATAGACATATTTGTATCCCATCCTGTTGCTACAGTTTGATTCAATAAATATTTGAATAAAATTCCTATGAAATAACCKATTTGCTGATAAAGGTCTAACAAGTACTGATGATGTAGTAGGTGCCTTGCATTTGTATCTGTTCTGTTGAGTCAGTTTAATTAAAGTGTTTTAATAAAATTAGGTTAATCAAAGCAATCTAGATTATTTTTYTTTAGATTATCACTGAAGCAATAATTAAGTCATAATTACTACTAGATTCTGTTTTAGAGCTTTTCTCTAAACTTTCTACTTTTGATTATTGAAAATGTTTTATAAATTTTTTTCTTTCCACTTTTTAATTGGTACATTATAGTTGTATATATGGTGGGAAATGTGCTTACATATTTGTACATGTGCATAATATAACCATATAATTTGATCAGTATCACTTCCCAGCACTTCCCCCCTCCCTCCCCTCCTCCCACCCTCCAGACCCTTTCATCTACTGATTTCACTTGGATTTTCGTAAGATCCCTGCCCCACTTCACCTTTCTTTTCCTTTTTTCTCTCTAGAATATTTTGTAAATTAAAAGTCATCTAATGTTGAAAATAAAAGATCTATTTATCCAAAGTTAATAACCTATTAAAAATGGGAATTAACATTTCCTTGAAAACTGTATGCTTTTAAGACTTTTTGTTGATCGAATTGATCATTTATTTTTATATATTTTGAATTTTTTTWAAAAAGAGACAATCTTTTGAAAACAGTTGCTAATCACCAGCTAGGAAAACCTTTGTCTGGGATGAAGATTCTTGATGTTGGCTGTGGTGGTGGATTATTAGCTGAAGTAAGTGACTTACTTTTCTGCCATTTTTAGCTGAGAAAAAAATTGAGAAGTGGGCTTGTTGCATCATTTATCCTTTTTACGAATAGTCTTATTAATTTTTTAAATGCTTGTTTAATATTTTCATGATTATAAAAGTAATTCATGCCTTTTGAAATTTTTTAAAAACTAAAACTCTTAGAAAATTGTACTGAACTTTTTGTTGTTAGTGGTGGTAGTGGTAGTTTTTAATAAAAAATGGGGCATAGGTAATTGAAATACCTTTGTGTGATCTCTTCTGTCCTAAGAAATTAGATAGTTTCTATTGATTTAAATGCAATGATAGGTTGTCCTTTTGTACTTGTTTTAATAACAAAGCTATCATTTACCTACTTGTAGGATTCTTTCTTTCTTAGAGTACTTCAAAGAGTTGTCATCCTTCCTGTGAAGAATATATGCTTTAGTTTATAGTAAATTTATGCCTTGCAGCTATATTGTATTCTGTCAACATGGGGACTTTTTGTTATTTGATCTTTGAAATATTTTAAACAACAGTAGGGGATATAAAAGTCTTAAGATTCAATGGAATGTGATAGTGTTGAGGTCCATAACTCAACCAAGTTTATTGTGTGACTAACAGTCCTTGATATGCAGTTAAGTTCCTACATGCACAGAAAACCTGCTCCCACCTGGAAGTGGGCTAGTTTCTTTTGACATCAATTATAAAAGTTCAGAAAGCCTAAAATATGTGAATTAAGGATATGTGGTGTACAGATTATAAATGAATAAGATTTTACYGTGTGTTCTGCCATGTGTTCAGTGTATTGTTGCAGAAATTATGTCTCTAAAGTTAAGATGATGRGACATACTTTTAGCTTATTGACTAACCTTGTTTAATAGAAACAYTGTATAAGTTTTGATTAAAATTAAGACTGTATTTAAATATTTGGGAATGTCATGGGAAGTATCCAGATGTAAAAGATGAACAAATAATTAGCTATGAATTATTTCTAGGGCTTGGGATGTAGCTCAGTGGTAGAGGGGTGCTTATRTGCATAAGACCCTGGGTTTGACCCCTAATACCACATATTCATACATAAAAAATCAAATCTGGTCAGTCACRGGAAAAAACTATAAAGAAGAAATTGGTTACTAGAAATAATAGCTGTTTTTACCATGGCATGTTACATTTATTGCATTTCAGATATTTAACACTGTCCTACATTTATGTAAATGTACATTTTGATTGTTGTTCTCACTTTTAAGCTTTTTATTATGGAAAATTTCAACTGTATACGAACTAAAGAAAATAGTATATGAACCCATACACAAAAATGATCTTCAGTAATTATCACTTTGTGGTTAATCTCAATTCATTTTTGGTAAGCTTTTTATTGCTAACATGTGTTCTTTTTTCTTYCTGAGAGTAACTTTTTTATGCCATTAGCCTCTAGGGCGATTAGGTGCTTCAGTTGTTGGAATAGATCCTGTGGATGAAAATATTAAAACAGCACAGCACCATAAATCATTTGATCCAGTCCTGGATAAGAGGATAGAGTACAGAGTATGTTCTCTGGAAGAAATTGTGGAAGAGAAGGCAGAAACTTTTGATGCTGTTATAGCTTCTGAAGTTATAGAACATGTGAATGATCTAGAAACATTTATACAGTGCTGCTGTCAAGTGTTAAAGGTAARACTTTCTCTTGTGAGTGCATGTGTATATCCATAACGTTAATAAGTTCGATAATACTTTATCAGTCTAGCAGATAAACTATAAGAGAGAAGAAACCAAGAATCCAGGTTTAGGGGATAGCCTCTGTGCTGGTAATTACTTCTGCCCCTCAGATTGCCCTCAATATGGGGTTTTCTAGTGTTCTATTAGTATATTGATGTCAGGGATCTTGAAAAATATTGGTGCTAAACACTGGAAAAATAACAAACACATTTATAGTGGTATTTTTCTATTGATCTAGATTATGGTCTGGATTAAATACTTAATAGCTATCATATGATAATTTACCAAGAAACTGATTGGATTAATACTTACAAATCAACAAAAACAATGATTAGCATAAATTTACTTAAATAGCATTTGTTAAATAAATCTGTGTYTTCAGTTTATGAAAGGATCACTGTATACATACTATCTTGCTTGATCTTATCTACAGCCAGATGAGGAAGGAAAGATGGGAGTTATCATCTTTGACTTTTGAGGACTGGGAACTGGTGAGATGTCAGAGCTGTTAGGTGGGGTTTAAAGCTAGATCTTTTGATTCATAATCTGGTTCTTCTCATTCTTTATTATGCTTATATAATTTTCCACAAATTTAGTCCTCCAAATGGGGTTCCAATTTTATACACACACACACACACAAAAAAAATTTAAGATAATTTATTTAATTTTTTAAAAGATAATTTTGGGGGAAGGTATTGGGGATTAAACCCAGGAGTACTAGTTGCTTCCACTGAGCAGCATCCCCAGCCCTTTTTATTTTTCATTTTGAAACAGAGTTTCTTTAAATTACTGGGAGCCTCACTAAGTAKCTTAGGCTGGCCTTGAACTTACTCCTTCCTTAGCCTCCCTAGTTGCTAGAATTACAAGCCTGTACCACTATGCTCAGCTTAATATCTTTAATGTGCCATTATTATTAAGGTTTTGACTGTATTGTTTACATATTTAAGATGTAACACCTTAAGRCCAAAAGCTAAAGGAATAAAATACTTATCCCATGTCCAAGTAGAGCTTTTTTAAAAAAAAAAATATTTTAAAGTAAGTTTATAGAAGAATTGCGAAGAGAATACAGAGTTCTCTTTCACTATTTTCACTTTACATTAAAGACTCACATCATAAGGGTAAGAACTAGGATTAGTCAAATGAAGGGCCTRGGGCATAAAATTGAAGGAGGCAGCTATTAGGTGCCAGCCCTGCACTGCACTGCACCCTGGAAGGGACTGCCTATTTCAGTTCTGTGCCCTAGAGCCTCACTTGCCTTGCCATAGTTCTGTACCTGCACATAAMCCCTGGCACATAAATAAGCCATGAACATTTGCATTATGCTTATTAACTGCACAATAGAGCTTGTTAAATTTCACTGGTTGTTCCACTAATGTCATTTTTCTGTTATGGATCCTATTAAGGTTCTTGCATTGCATTTAGTTGCCATGTTTCCTAACTCTTCTTCAATCTGTCAGTTTCTTGGTGTTTTCTCTTACATGGAATTTTATGAGGCTTATCCCCAATTTTACAATTAAAACACCTTAATTTTTAAAAAGTTTAAAATTCTCTTTTGGTGGTACTGAGGATTAAATCTAGGGGCATGCTCTGCTACTGAGCTACCCCCTCCACCCGCCCTAAGTCCATATATGATTCTTTTTTTTTTTAAAGCTGGGGACTTAACTAAGGGATGTTTTACCACTGAGGCACATTCCAGTTCTTTTTATTTTTTATTTTGAGACAGGGTATCCCTAAATTGCTGAGGCTGTCTTCCAACTTGCAATCTTCCTGTCTCAGTTGCTGGGATTACGGGTGTGCACTATTGSACCCAGCATGATTCTTAAGATGCTAAAGTTTTACAGAGAAAAGTTAACGTGACAATATAGTATGAGGTATTCCAGTGTTTAAAAGCACACACTGACATTTCAGGGCCTTCTCCTTTTTATTTTTGGTTTGGGGTGGTATTTGAGATATATTATCTGTTCCTTGCCCACCCCCGGTCCCATATATACAGAAAGATTATTTTGAAAGGAATCTTTGGCATCTTATCCTCATCACACTAATAAGAAAGCATAAAACAGGGAGAGAACATTAATGTCCTTGCTGTTTGTGATACTAAACATAGAAACACCATAAATGTAGTTAAAAAAAGGGGAGACATAAATAACCCCTAATTGCTTTGTATTCATCTAAGTGCTTATCTTGATCTGTTCATAATCTTTGTACAAATGAAATCARTGCCAAAACAAACCAAAAAAAAAAACCATTCAAACTTTAATATTCGAATGTTCAAACCTTACCATTGGAATGTTTTGAACTGAAGACGCTTACTGGCAATGTACCCATGCATAAGATGTGTAGCTTTGTGCTGTACCAAAAAACTTAGACTGGCACCCAAAAGGAAGCAGTGGTGACATGTTAGAATGTAAATGTGAACTTGTAACGAAGAAGAACATCTTATTTCTGTATTTTRTTTTAAAGTATTTGATGTGTACAAAAGAATATATGTAAAATAATGTCAGTAATGTATGATTTTTAAGAGTTATAAACCCTATTGTATAGATTCGGTGAATCTGAGTGGATTGCCTCAAGTAGTAGATTTCCCAATAGAAAAAATAGTATTTTGGTAAATTATATTTTATTTATACTCATGTATCTTAACTGCACTTAAATTCTTGAAGGAAGGAAAAGCTTTTACCTGATACTCCTAACCTTTTGCATTTTACTTCAGTACAATTTTCTCCTTACATAATTTTGCTTCTTTTAGCCTGGCGGTTCTTTGTTCATTACTACAATCAACAAAACACAACTGTCCTATGCTTTGGGAATTGTTTTTTCAGAGCAGGTTGCAGGTATTGTACCAAAGGGTACTCATATGTGGGAGAAGTTTGTTTCACCTGAAATGCTAGAAAGTATTCTGGAATCAAGTAAGTATTAATTTTTTTTTTCCGATTTTCACAGCCTAACTGAAACTTTAAAATGTACTTATAATTATTAATCACATAATCTAGCATTTAATTAAACAGGTTATTATTTTTTGGATGTTGGTTTTATCTCAACTATGTCATCAACTTTTTGAAGTTAGAATTAAGTAGATACTACTTTTTTTCTCACCTGTGGCATCTAACCCAGGGCCAAGCAAATAATAGATGATTAATGATCCTTTCTGGCTATTTAGTCCTCGTTTGTTTAAGGATRAGATGTTTGTACCTCATCCTTAAGCAAATGAGGACTAAATATTACACCCCAGTTTGCCCTACCAAGCCCTGCATTTACTGGCTAATCTTATCTATTTTTCCTGATTCTTCTACACTTAGATGTATTTTGAACTTCATGTCACTTTTAATGTTTTACATTACTTATAATCTACTTATATTATTATTTTTTTCACCTTTTTCTGGCCTGTGTATTCCTTAAAGGCAAGATTATATCTCCTTTTTGTATTTCTTATAGTATCTTGCTCTTGCTTTACATATAGGGAACACTCAATTTGGTTTATTTAAAGGCTGTTTGCTCCAGACCGATGAAAACCAAACTCAATGTGTTGAATTCCTGTTAAGTAATTCGTATTTCTCCATTCATTTATTTGACTTTTTTTTTTCCTGTACTCGGAATTGTACTCAGGGGCACTTTACCACTGAGCTATAGCCCCAGTCCTTTTTATCTTTTATTTCGAGACATCATCTCACCAAGTTGCTGAGAGTCTTGCTAAGTTTCTGAGGCTGGCCTCAAACTTGTAATCCTCCTGTCTCAGCCTCCCAAATTGCTGGGATTATAGTCATGTGCCACCACATCTGGTTGGCATTTGGTATGGTTGAGTATTTCGATTCCTTCTTTCTCATACTTTTTATTCATAGAACATCATATCAATAAAGTTGATTTTACTTGGAATATTATCAGTCCCTAGGAATGTAGTAAGTTCTGGAGAGTTYTGTGAGTACTTTTGTTGAAAATCAAGTAGAAAAAAATATTTTGCAGAAGCTTTATGGGAATAATCTGATGAAGATATTTTCTGTAACAGCTAATATTTATTGAATACTTACCAAATTCCAACCCTCTGCTTCTTTATGCACATATCTCTTCCATTTCTAACAATTTTATGGTAAATGTTCGGTATATGTGAGAAAACTGATTCAGAAAGGAAAGTGACTTGCCTGTAGTCACCATATAGTAGGTACCAGAGCTGGAATTTAAACTCAGGYAGTATACTTTAGAGAATGTTTAGTAGTCTACAGTGAACTATCATGTGTACATGGTTACAAAGTATTTTTTGCCCATTACATTAAAAATCCTTTGTTAATATGAAGAGTAAAAGGAGATTATTGGCAGTTGGAAGGTATTTATTAAACCTACATTTTTTTAATATTTTTTTCAGATGGTCTGTCAGTTCAAACTGTGGCAGGAATGCTGTATAACCCCTTCTCAGGTTACTGGCATTGGAACAAAAATACCAGCCTTAACTATGCAGCTCATGCTGTGAGATCCATGGTACAGGAACACACAGTGCCTGCTGCTAATGCTGCCACCAGCCCAGGTGTGCACGAAGAGCTGAAGAAATGAATTGTTTCTGAGGACTATAGTATTAGGGCTGAAAGTCTGATGTTTACAGATTCAAAAAAATATACAACTTATATTTTGAGAGAGAATCATAAATAAAAGGAGGTCGTTAAAAGAGCTACATCTTTGGATAAAAGTTTTTATGTCATCTAATAGTAACTTTCAAGGGATTCTATTGATAAAAAAGTTTTATCACTTTTGTTATATAAATAGGCTATGCATGATTCATTGTATCTTCCAGAATACATCCCCCACCTTCCCACATACATACATACATACTTCCCACATGTATACACATACATTTATGCTGTCATTTATTTTAACTTAATAATACGGAATCTATATCATATACATTTCTTTTATTTGGTTTATTTAAAGGCTGTTTGCTCCAGACCGATGAAAACCAAATGTAGTTATCACTTATAGGAAAATAGAATGTTTTTTTTYCTTTAAATTTGACTTCATTGGAAAGCAAATGAGATGTTAAATATGAACTGGATTTGAACTCAGACATTTAAATCAAGATTTCAGAGTATGATGAACATACTTCTGTGTACGGTTCCTTAAAAGTTTTATGGTCCTTTAAAAAATAATTAGTGCATTTTAATACTCAGAAAAAAGGGTCAATATGGCATATTCCTATTTGCATATAACATAGCTTGGTCATATCTACTCCCTGCTTTTATCCTTCTTTTTTCCTCCCTTCCTCTATCCTCCCATCCGCTTCCTCTTCTTTAAGAGTCTCTTTGCTACTTTCATGTCATTTTTTTTCCCCTAGAATGGGGGAAAACAGATGGGGAAACGTGAGGGAAAACAGATGACATTTATCATTCTGAGTTTGGCTTAATGTTATGATCTCCAGTTCCATCTATTTTCCTGAAAATCACATGATTTCATTCTTTATGGCTGAATAATACTCCACTATGTATATATACAAAGTTTTCCTTATCATTTATCTATTCATAAAAACTGCTGATTCCAGGGCTGGCGTTATAGCTCAGTGGTAGARTACTTGCCTCGCATCTGTGAGGCTCTGGGTTCTATCCTCAGCACCACATAAAAATAAAATAAAGACATTGTGCCCACCTAAAACTAAAAATATATTTTTAAAAAAAACCCTGCTGATTCCATACATTCACTATTGTGAATTTTGCTGTGATAAACATCAGAGTGCAATTATCTCTATAATATATTGACTTTAATTTCTTCATGTATATAATAAGGAGTTGTATTCCTAGATCACATGGTAGTTTTATTTTTAGTTTTGTGAGGAACCTCTGTACTGATTTCCATAGTGGCAATTTACATTCCCACCAACAGTATAAAAGGATTCCATTCCCCCACATTTTTGACAGCATTTTTTTTTGTATTCTTGATAGTAGCCATTCTGACTTTGGTGAGAAGGGCTCTCAGTATAGTTTTTTGTTTTTATTGTTTGTTGGTATTTGTTTTATTTGGTACTGAGAATTGAACTAGGGTGCTTTACCACTGAGTTACATCCTGAGTCCTTTTTATTTTTTATTTTGAGACTACTGAAGCTGGCCACAAACTTGTGATCCTCCTGCCTCAGCCTCCCTAATTTTTGGGTTTACAGACATGTATGTTCATCACTATCCCTGGTTCAATGTAGTTTTGATTTACCTTTTCCTGATGACTAAAGATATTGAACATTTTCATGTAATATTGGCCTAGTGTGCTTCTTTTTGTAAAAAGTATCTCTTTAGTTCATTTGCCCACTTATTGATTAGGTTGTTTTTTTTTTATTGGTGTTAAGTTTTTTGAGTTCTTCATATATTCTGGGGATTGATCCTCTGTTTCATTGACTGGCAAAGGTTTTCTTCCAGTCTGTAGCCTATTTCTTCACTCTGCTGTTTCCTTTGCTGTGCAGAAGGTTTTTAATTTGTTGGCAGCTCCCTTTGTCAATTCTTGCTATTACTTCCAGATTTTTGGAGTCCTATAAAGGAAGTCACTCTCTGTGCATATGTCTTGAAATGTTTCCCCTGTTTTCTTCTAACAGTTTTAAAGTTTCAGACCTTACCTTTAGGTCTTTTTTCTTTTTTT